AGTACTGGGATTAGGGTTTAGAGTAGGGTCAAGGGCGATACCTTGACAACATCACTGATCCAACTCAGTGTTTCATACTTATTGAACTCTATTTGTCCTGCTCTATTTAAGTAGCACTGCTTGTGCTACTGTACTTCAGTTTTGTCCTCTTGTTCCCTATGTACACTTCATAGGGACAGTTCTCAGTAATAGACTTAGTTGTCTATTCAAGTCTCAGTCTCAGTCTGAAGCTCTGCTTCAACCAGTTTACTCTCAAACCACTATCAGTTATAGTGGCTCAGTTTACAAGTCTAGTTCCAGTGTAGGACATTAGTGTGTATAAGTCCAGTAACAGTCAACAGTTGAACTCCTGATCCTCAGTCATCAAGGTCCCTTAACACCCCAATTCTCAGTGCCTGAGAGAGGGTCAATTCAGTATCATGAGATGTTGGTCATAATGCATTTGCATGTTTTATCTCATTTAGAGCTTGTGAGCAGGGCTCATAACCTGTTGGAACACTAGGTACAGCAGTGAGTGAGGCAGAAGAGAGGCGATAGATAGTCTGTAGCTACATCATAGTATATATACATGTGTCTAAGGGCCCAAGGTTCAGGCCAGCAGCCAGTACTGTTGTCCATGTGGGATGCTAGGTGATCCTGGCCATCATTGGCTGTGGTTTGCATGGCCCATTGCCAGGCTTGTCCTTTGTGGCATATCCATGTTGTTTCCCAACAATATCAAATATAATGATGAAGTCCATGTATAATGATATCATCACGTCCGTATGTGCGTGGCTAGTTGAGTCTGTCTCTATGTAACTCTAGCGATAACCAGGTAACTATAACTGGCTACGAAACTTACTCAGAGGTTTTTCTCTCCCTCCCAGTGTGTTCTGTTTCCAAGTCCGAATCCTCAGTAGATCTCGCCACAGAAGGCCTATCGTTGGGCTCCTTCGCGAGCCTGGCCTCCACCCTCTCCGCTTGCTCTGTGCGATCGTGGCCACGGCCATGCTCTTGTTGCTTGCGCTCTTGTTGCTGTTCGTGCCAGAGTCGTTCATCGTAGTCCTCCGCAATCGTGCCAATTTCCTTGCGGACAGCCCGCGCTTCACTCACAAGATCCAACCACTGGTCGATATCAAGCCCGCGAGATTTATACAGTGCATCGCGGCGTGCAGAAACACTGCGCTGCAGCACGGATGAGTAGGAAACCTCTCGTCCCTGATAAAGGAACCTACAAAATGGGTCAGTAATTTTCTCTCGGTCAAGCGCATCCCATGACTGACCATAGGTAGCCGATAATTACCATAGACAGCCCAGATAGATAGGTCACAGGCTCCATGATATCCCTGTCCATGGAAAAATATTCACATTAGCGGGCATTCGATTGGAGCATAATTTGAAGGGTGCATACGCACCAGCCAAGATCCCAAAAGGTGAGCCGAGCAACTGCGCCCCAATAGAGCACCAGCCCGCCCAATCCTCCTATGGCCATCCTGCGAGCCCCACGGTGGGCCTCGACATCACACGACCGCTTCAGATCCTCCATCCCGCGCAGCTCTTTTTCAATCGCTTTCAGTCTCCTCCGCAGGTAACGCGTGCGATCTGCGAACGTTGGAACCTCGACATGAATGGTAGTTTGTAGCTTTTCATCGTCCGCCTTGGCGCCGTCGCCGCCGATGCAGATGGAAAACTCGGTCGCGCGAGCTGCGTCGCGAATGAAGCCACCGACGTCGGTTGAGTCTGCCCACTGGAAATTGTGTCCTCGTGGTGTTATACCACGGAAAGAAATCGTCGGTGTAGCGGGGGCGAGAGACGCCAGAATCAGGCGAGAGATGTGCGAGAGCGGCTGGGAAGGATGGAGGAGGAAGATTGTTGGTGGTGGGGGCTTGCCATTCACCCCTTGCCGCCGTGCATGAACATGACCGAGGGGTAAAATCAGCTTGAACAAATGTGAGGAAGTTGGCGATAATTTTCCTGTAAAAGCGGACCATGGGGAAACTGAGGTAACTCAAAGATCTGGTAAAGCTAGCTTACCTTTGCCCTCGGTCAACGAGTCGAGATCCTCCGCTGTATTTCCTATACCCTCCGCACTATTATTTTTCCACTTCGCCGTGCTAGGTGCTTCAGCTAAAAAACGAGAATGGCTAACGTTGGCATTCTCAATCTCTTGCGCGGTTGTGACCCAGCGTGTTGGCCTAACGGTGAGGATTCTTGTGCCTGTTCGATAGCGGCAACGGATGAGGAGAGTTCTGAAACTCATCGAGTAGTAGCAGAGAGGGTTGGAGTCGCATTTCTGTGAAGTTAGCCTTGGACGTCGTTTAGACTTGGAAGTGACGTCGGGATGCGGAACGTGCGCCTAGTGCACAGATTCGTATCAGGTGCTCCACATAATTATTTTATAAAGTAGCGAGGTAAGTTACAACGATACAACAGAAAATCGTATGCATCTATCTTATAGCGCTGAGCATCGTAGTCTAGAAGCAGGCTTGAGAATTTCATGAACGGTATGTTTATCCATGAAGTCATCGTATCAGCACGTCGCAAGGCATGGTTTCCTTTATATTTTCCAAAAATATCCTATGCAGACAGTAAGCACATGCATGTTATACGCATGGGCTGCTACTGATACCCACTTAATCAACCTCGGAAAATACTTTCTCATTTTCACCGCCAGTTTCGTTGACTAAGATCGTCTTAACTGGGCCTACAAAGTGTGAGTTTCCCCACACAAACCAACACAGTGCAACTATCAATATGATGGCACCAATGGCAACGATAGCATAGTTCATGTCTAGAGTGTTGACCGGGTATGCGGTGGGCAAGATGAAGAGGACACAGATGAACACTGCAAACTGCCGATTGTAATCTAGCCAGTGGGTCAATATGGTTGATCGAGTGACTTACCATGAAACTAGCAAGATTGATTACCCATGACCACCTCCCAAGATTGAACGGACCGCGCTCAGGCAAACTCCTAACAAACAAGGTCGTGAGATGTGAACGTCAAAGTGCAAAGGAAACCATACGTGGATGGCCAGAATACTCTTATAAGAATAGGCTGCAGATAGCTCAGCATTACAGCGATGGCAGCAGATGACAATATCGCATTGAACTGCCCGCACGACGTAAGAACACATTTTTTAAAGAATCATACAGGGGACAACGTACAGCAATTGCAGAGCCAATATAAGCGCATGAGATAATGCATCCCACGAGTACAGACACCCAAACTCCCCAATATGGGGCTTGATAGCGATTCAACGTCATGAACCACGTCTTCATCGGGAATGCATTATCCCTGCTCAGCGCATAGAACAATCGCGAGCTGGCTGTGAAAGCAGTCACTGACGCCATGAATTGCGCGAGTGCAACAACCGTGAGGCACATGAGTGTTAGGCGGGGGCCAACCGCATCGTAGTACAACTGTGTGATGGGCAGCGCGTACGATGTGGACTGTACACGTGCGATGCTCTGCACCGAGAAGAGCAGCGCCAGCATGTATGCGAGGCCGATGAGCCAGGATCCCGCGATGGACCCTACAACGGCTAGCGGCGCAAGCAGCTCAGCGCGCTGGGCTTCCTCTGCGACTTGTGCGGCGGTCTCGCAGCCTTCGAGGGTGTAGACCGCCTAAAAAATGTCAGGGCATATGTTGCGAGTTCCATTGACAACATACCTGTAGAAATCCCAAAAGGACTACAAATCCTCTGTTGCTCCATCCTGTGAAGCTGTCCCCAGATTCAGTTGCTATATCGTAAGTGACATTGCTAGTCTGACGCACTTCTGGAAGTCCGTGAACACAAAGTCTGCGGGATTCTACAATCGACTGAGACGTTTGGCCAAATCTAGAAAGCCATCTACGCTCACCCTCACTGGTGCTTTGACGAGAAGCGTAATAACGAGCACAAATGTTCCACCAAGGGTCCACCATAAATTAAATGCGCTCATACCGCCGATCGCCCTCGTTCCAACAGTGTTGATCACACCTGATGCAATGTTGACACCCCATGCGATCGCGGCAATCTCTACTCGAGTAAGAACCCGGTTTTGTCCGACCTCAGCGAGAGAAGCCAGGTACAGAGCAACACTGCAGGTGGTCGATAGTATATGGCCATACCGTTATGTGTATGTGAAATTTACCTGAGGTTCCCCGATGTGCCGGTGAAGACCATAGCGATGCTGTATACCCAGCCTGTCTGACGGACATGTCATATGCGACCGAACAAGAGGAGAAAAAGACCTTGGACTAACACAGACTGTTGCAATAGATCGGGCTTAGGAAATGCGCTTGTAATATACTATTCGAAACTTACATCCTAACACGGGTGTATCGGGCTTCATCTTGCAGACCCAGAAGTAAAGTCCTCCCATGGTCGGACTGGAAGTGCACTGTTGGCATGCAGCGTTAGAGTAGCGTCTAAATGACTTACTATGCACTACATATCTCCGCCAACGAACACGCTATCAACAGCATAAACAGACTGCATATCTACCCAGCGTCAGGACGACTGCGCATACAGGTTTAAAGTAGATAGAAACTCATACATTCCATCCCCAAAACAGTCCTAACGGTCCGCCTGAGAACAGACCCGTCTGAAAGGCACTACTCATGCCCGTGAGGATTCCAATTGCACAGAACGAAATCCCAAGAACCCCGAAGAGAGACATGTTCCGGCGGAACTCGGTCTTGTAACCCAAATCATTCAACCGTTTGTCTGATACATCCGGAGGAGACTCTGCCGGCGGTGTGGGAGATGCGATGGGTATCTTCTGAATACTTTCGACGTCACCGTCTGCGCGGTCTTTCATCTTCGAGAGCGTCTGGAGGTACAAGCGGGAGCACGTCCAAAGAACACAAGCGGGAGATGAGGCTGGTACTTAGTCTGAAGGCCGTTCCCTTCCAAACACTCGACCCTGTAATATATCTCGTGACACTGGAGTCGATACGGAACCATGGGGCTGATCAGAAGTCGCCAACAGCAGCTCGCGTGAGCGATAAGAGTCGTCCAGCGTTTTTATCGCCTGTGAGTCCGATAGTGGTATGGGGCGCAGATTCAACACACTTTACAAATCTCAACGTCCTATATACGCGCGCCGAGCGATTTTTGGACGAGAGTCGCTTCAACGTAAGTATGCGAGAGCAACATGAGGAGATACATGGAATCTAGAACTAACTCGTCGGAGGTTTATTTATTCAGCTGAACGCCCTTCTCCGATAACGTAGGCGCCCATGTAGATCGTCCCTAGTCACTACTGTGACATTGGGCTACACATCAACTTGTCAAGTTCAATCACTATGGACCCTCGGATCATTGTCCGCCTGATTTTGAAAATTAGCCTTCTAGCCTGAACTGCCGCCAGCTGCTCTTGTTTTCCGACTCGCCTTGGAGGCTTGAAACGTCTGAGCATATCACTTTTGGCACTGGTCACTATAATTTTTCGTAGTCGACATGTCCCCCTGCCGTCAACCTTACACATGAGGAGAATTTACTATTTTTTGTGGCTTGGCCAAACCCTACGCGTTTAGTACTTGACGCTTAGATGGACGGCCCTCGTCAGAGTACTTGGGATGTTGGATTTCCAGTTCCGGCACCTATGACCCTCGCACGTAAGTGAGCCTCCACTTTGCTACCTATTCACCGTCTTGTTCTGCGCCAGATGAAGTTCTAATTACATTTTGTTTTGTTTTTTGCCTTTTATCTTTGGCAGCAGCGTGAACGGCTCTCCTGATCCTTGCCTCTAATAAACATCGAACTTGCTTCTTTGGAGCTCTGATCTAACCAGTCAGTTGACTTTGCATCAATCTTAGTCACGGACCATCTTCTCGGAGCCTTGCAAGTCGTTACGACAGATTCGGCGAATCTGATGTGATTCGCCGTGTTAGTATATTAGGGAAACTTCCACTTGTATTCATACTCCCCTCGCCGCTTGATTTGTACTCTTTACTCGGACCGTCGACTCTCTAAACGCTATAGTTTGACAATGCCTGGCACAACTACACCGTCCATTCCTCATTATATTCCTGCCGTGCCAACCAATGAGCCTTGTAAGCACTATATCTCATACAAAAATTCGAACTTTGATCTGACCTTATTTTTCCTGGAGTGGATTATGCGGATCTCGTTATCATTGATATCGCCGAGGCGCACACAGCCGAAGGCCGCGCCAAATTGGCTCTTCAGTTACGGGAAGCATTGACAACACAAGGTTTTTTTTATGTCGTCAATCACGGTTATTCACAATCTCAGGTACGATGGTACGTATTTGCTCTCGCGATCCAGTCCAATTAATCGCTGTATAGACCGACCGCATCTTTGACATTGCCGACGTTCCGTTCAGTCTCGTCTCGAACGAAGAGAAGCAAACATATGCAGGAAACATTAAGGCGACGGGATCCTATCAGGGTTACAAATTGCGGCAATATTGGGTACGCCAGCCCATTGTCGGGAGTGCTCCAATGCTTAGGGTATGTCTGTAGCACATTGACGCAGGAGTTCATGACCAACTTGAACACTATAACAGTAAGTCAGCTCGTGTTCATATAGCGTCCGTTTACTTACACTCTCTTCAGTAAATCGCGATGTTACAAGGAAACAGCATCCAGAATCTCTACGTCCTCTCCTCCCTGAGATTGCGGCCTTTGCGAAGTTCAACCATACGGAGATCTTACACACACTTCTCCGGTTCGCTCATCGCATCTACTGATAGCGTGCGTCTGACACTATTCCTGTAGCCTTTTTGCTTTGGGACTCGAGCTTCCGGAAGATACATTCGTCGATCAACACAACTACTCTGCAGCTGGTGAAAGTTACGGTGCGATGCGTGCCCTCGATACCGATATAAAAAGCTGACATGAAGACCAGTACGATTCATGAAGTAGTATGTGAATGGTTTCCTTAAGTATTGTCTCAAGGATTCTGAACCCTCGTAGTTATCCCCGGTCAGAAGATGAAGAGACGAAAACGAAGAACATTTGGTTGAAAGGACATACTGGTATGGACTTCTCGCTGACTCGCCAACGGTGGCTAATTAATTGTGGTAGATTTTGGAACTGTCACAATTTTATGGAGTCAGCCTGTTGCTGCGCTTCAAATTCTCTCCCCGGACGGCCAGTGGCGTTGGATCCGACACATCGATAATGCTCTTGTACGTATTGTAGCCTTATCGTTCATCTATCTCTGAACCTTGACGCCTTCATTTTTCTCATCGAAGGTGGTGAACTCTGGAGACGCCATGGAATTTCTCTCTGGAGGATTCTACAAGGCCACTATCCACCGCGTCGTGCAGCCTCCTCCAGATCAGCGTGGTTTCACTCGCCTAGGCGTCTTCTACTTTGCAATGACCGACGATGACATAAAGCTCGTCCCTCATGCAGAGAGCCCAGTGTTACAGAAGCATGGAATAATTCGCCGTTGTGATGATGCAGACGCTCCAACCATGGAAGTCTGGCGGAAAGGTAGGACGAGCGCCTATGGGCAGACCGAGCTGCAAAAGAAAGAGAACGGAGTGGAAGAAGAAGTCATCAACGGAGTCGTAGTGAAGCATTACAATTAGGTTCGTGTATGGGAAAATCACCTTCGGCACCTGTAATCAATACAGGTATTCACCGCGGCAATTACATCGTTTCGTCGGCGGAAATCCTGAGCAGGTGTTTCCTACGATAAGACAGACCACATGAACAACTCCGAACGTTGCCTTTTCCCTCAGAACGTCGCCCCCGCGCCTGGATCTTGACAGGCATTCTATCTATAATTGCTGCCGGACCTGCAGCCCCTCGTTATAACGTCCTCACTAGAACTTCCCTAGTTCGCGCGATAGACTCGCGGTAACGTGACTGTGAATCTCGATCGCGTTGAAGCTATACGTGATGCTCAAGGTGATCCTTTCCCTATGCCGTGCCAAAAGTGGTCGATATGCCAATGTTGAGCGCGCATGGGGTGGGGTGTTTTGAATACATGGTACGTTATGTGATTCTTTACCTTAAACTGCTGACCAGTCCATTTTCTTGCAGCGGCAAATTCAAGCCCATGTGGGATATGAAAAGCGCCTAAATCAGCTCAGTTAGTCTGTCATATTACTCTCGAGATGGTCTTCTGCAGGTGTCACTTCAAGCTATCTGTCTCCGCGGTGTTCTATTCCGGAATCTAGGCAACTCCGCATGCCCGCCTCATAGGCACAAGCCTTTAAAGACCTTGTCTCGCCAGAGCCTCCACCCATCCTCGAACTCCGATCTTTCCTCAGCTCACCTTCAAGCGATCCTCAGGTTAGCATGCCTAGCACTGTGCTTCCCTCTATCCCCCATCGTGAAAGGATACCGCTCACCAATGAGCCCTGTCAGTAGTCCAGCCCTCAGAAATTCGTGTTGGCAAGGTGTTTAAGCTAACGTTTTCGTTCTTTAGTAGAATATGCCGATCTGGCCGTTGTTGACCTATCCAGGGGGGAAACTGCTGAAGGAAGAATGGAACTCGCCGCACAAGTTGCCGATGCTATGTCTAATGTCGGGTTTTTCTATATAATAAACCATGGTTTGTCGCAAGCTCAGGTTATTCTTCCATGATTGCCTTTGGTTGGATACATGCTGAACATTGATCTAGAATGATCGCATGTTTGATGTCGCCGATGTGCCATTCTCGCTGGTCCCCGAGGATGAAATGAAAGCCTATACGACTAGCTTCGAGGACATAGGTAGATATCTCGGATATAAGAACCGTAGACAATGGGTTCGTGGGGTTTTCGTTTTTGCCCATCCAACTTACTACTGATAATCCATCCTAGCATGTGAATGGCGGGATATATGACGAGATAGAGCAGTACAATAGTAGGTGCTTGTCCATAATACGTGCGATCGTCCTCAAGATGTACGTCAGTGGATCGGGACGTTATGAAGGAACAGCATCCGAGGGCTATGAGGCCTCTTCTCCCCGAGATCGACTCTTTCGTCAAATTCTGCCACTATCAGGTTCTCTATCCAATTCTTAGGTGCGTCATAAATTTCAAACCCTCGTATTCGTCCTAGAGACCAACAAGGCCGACGGCAGACTTTTGGCTCTTGGACTCGGACTGCCCGAGGAGACTTTCGTAAAGATACATGGTTTTGACGACAACAATGAAACGTCCAGTGAGCAGCATTGATCAGAGCTCAGGTGTGCCACTAATGAACTGTCACTAGTACGATTCATGAAGTAGTGAGTATGGAATAGCTCATGGAGTTTGTGCGGGTGCTGATCACTTACAGCTTCCCTCGAGCACAAGACGAAGAAGACAAGGCAGACAACGTCTGGCTCAAAGGTCATACTGGTGAGTGTATCCTCAATGATCAGAGATCCGTAGTGCGAGTGTCGACCTGCACCCCATTTGTAACAGACATTGGAAGCGTATCCATTCTCTGGAGTCAACCGATCTCGGCCCTGCAAATTCTCTCGCCTGATGGGAAGTGGCGATGGATCAGACACATCGATAACGCACTGGTGTGTTTTCACATTTTTCTAGAATCAAGACTGCGCTTAACGATAGGTAGGTCATTAATGCTGGAGATGTCATGGAATTCTTGTCTGGTGGTTATTACAAGGCCACCATCCATCGTGTTGTGCAGCCGCCGGCGGATCAGCGTGGACATGCCCGTGTCGGTCTGTTCTACTTCGTGAAATGCAACGACGACGTAAAGCTTGTCCCATTCGCGGAGAGCCCGGTCCTTCAAAAGCACGGCATCACGCGCCTTTGTGACGATGTCGACGCACCCACAATGCTGGAATGGAGGAATAAAAGGACTAGTGCATACGGCGTGACGAAACTAGAGAAGAAGGAGAACGGCCGCATCGAAGAGGAGATTATCAGTGGCGTCGTCGTAAAACATTACAACTAGAATGGCAAATAGACAAACATCAAGTCCAATGCCTAGTTAGTGATTGTAAATGTACAACTATGATTACAGATATCGGTACACGTAGGCTGTCATTCATGCGAATCCATCCAATTCCCGAAAGTTCTCACATCGACTTCTTTCCGACCCGTACACTGCCCTGGAAGGGAAGTCCCGTCAACTCCATCTCACCATTCCGGCCATTTTCGAATGGGAGGCCCTGTACGTGTACAGCGACCGCAGCAACCCCTTCAACGCCCGCCAGTGCACCCTGGGTGCCGAAAATCACCTGAAATTGAAATTGGTAACTCATGAGACAATCGACCAGAGAAGGATTCGTAAGTATACCTTCGTCACAAAATTACTGAACTCGCGTTCCCGCCCGGGGAGCACGTCTAGCGGCACATCTTCAATATTCGCCCATACTTCCACGGCCGAACCATCACCACCCTCACTCTCCGCAGGCTTACTTTCCGCAAGAAGCCAATCTTCTGGACGAATATGCGCGAACGCTCGTGCAGGCAGTGGATCCGGCAAGGGCGGTGCCGGGGGCACATCCTCGCCATCATCAAGACCATCGACGGCACGGGAATGTGAAACAGGCACAGCCTGTGGTTCATTTTCAGCGGGGACCGGTCCATCGTATACAATAACATCAGGTAAGACGCGCAGGACGTCCACGTTAACCTCAATTCCCCGCGGGAGAACGACACGCGCAAGTATCGTCCCACTCGCAACCATACCCGCACCGACGGGCTTGATCCTCATGTCTTTGATTGTCACGTCGCGCAGAATTTGCGGTTTCGGGCGCGGCGCGGGAAACTTTGCGCTGACCGATAGGCCAGGTAAGAATGGCGTCGAGAGTAATACGTCCGAGTCGCGTGCGGAGACATAGTTGCTAAGAAACTTGGATACTGTCGCGGAGGAATTTCGCGGCAAAGAGAGGACACTGCCATTAACAAACAACGAAATGTTTGGATATGTGAGATGGAATGGGTCTGTCTGAACTCCAGCAATAGGGATGGTATCCGAGGTATTGGCCACCGGCAATGAAACTGTGAACGGTGTTGAAGGCGCACTGAACTCGAGCGTGGTCGGAACAGGATCTACAACGGTCACATTGGCACGAATTGAAAGCGTGTCATGCTCAGATGTAATTAAAAATGACTGAAGCGTGATGAACTCGGAAAATATAGGAAGCGGACTGTTATGTCCAGGAGGTGGGAAACCTGGGAGCCGCGGAACTACAGGATATCAGTTCAAGAGCAGGAAAAGAAATGAAACAACACACTAATTATGTGCACCCGGGTACTAATGTCAGTATGTATCAGCTTCAGGTAATGCCGCCAGCTGTCCCGGTCCAATCCGCCTCCCAGCACGGCCGCCTCACCAACTGTCGTTCGGACTTGAATGCTTCCTTCCCTCCAGCTGTCACGCGCAAATTTAAGCAACACGGCCATGTCTTTTGTCGGGCGTATGAGAACAGGGACTGCGATCGCCGTAAGCCATGAGAGGTCTGGCGGCGGGTCAGCAGTCAATGGAATCTCGAGAGGAGGAATGGAGACGGTCGCAAGTGGTTGGGAAGGGTCACTTTCAGGAGTGACCTCAATCGTCGTGAGCTTTAGGGATACTCGGTCGAGCTGTCGAATCCCCCACCGACCGAGTGATTTCCAGACACCTTGAACGATATTGTCTTCTTCTTCTGACTTCACTCCAGCCACAGTTCCAGCATCCAGTCCTATCCTTCCATGCACCATGAGCCATACTCCTCCGTCACCGGTTGAGTTAATCACATTCACCCGGTCGGGGCCTCTCAAGACCAGCGCATGCTGTATAATATCCTCCGGGGATGCACTTGCAGCACGAGAACGATAGGAATAGACAATCAGAACAATGAGAGCAAAAGCAAGTGTGCAAGTCGAAAGCGAGATAAGAAATACAGAGACCAGCCTTGAATAGAGCCGGCGAGAGTGAGGGGGCTCAGGGTCGACTTGGGAGCCTATATACGACCTGCTTGTTGAGCTGAGTAGTGGACTAGCCTCAGTTGGCTCAGCCCGTGCTTTGCCTTTGTCTATGCGGCGCTCGACGTCGACGGTGTCTGCACTCATCATGGCGGCTGTTGGTGAGGTCGTCACCGCGGTGGCGCGGCATGCACCATGGTTAACAGGTACTATCGACCCCACAAATACAAATGCGTTTAGTTACATTATAAGGTACAATAGTGCACACCGTTACGTATTGTTACATAACATTACTGTCCGTTTCAGGCTCACCCTGAATTCCGACTACAGCATCATTGCCTTCCGCTTGCTTTCCCGCCATGTCGCAGAAACATATGATATGTTTTAATCTATTGATTCAGAGGCAGACCGTGTACTCCCATTGCTCCTGTTTCCGACATTCCTAGTGCGCCTATTCCTCAGTCTGTCCACGAGACAACTTAGCTCGTGGTTCATCCCGCTTCAAGAACATCGTGATTGGAAGGAGTCGGATCGAAGTAGCGAAAGATGCTCCTCGGGAGAGCGTTGGTGAGTCCTGCTAGCATCAGACCTTGCAGCAAATGGGCCGGAGTTCGTTGCAGGGCACTCATGACTCGACTTTCGTCTGCAGGCTGCGACAGAGTCTCCACTGACCCATCATCGCTGGCCCGCGTCCGCACACGATACGTCTTGCGGGCAGTAGGCCTCATCTCGTCTGCCTCTGCTGTGCGCATGGGGGCCTAAAGAAGAGGAATACTATGTGTGCACAATACTGTGCGTTCGGACAATCAATCTTGAACAGAGCATTGTAGAGACACCGATGCATCTCCTAATCAGTCAGAGATATCCTCGAGGGTTTAGTCTAACCATTTCCCTCATGGGGCGGACCGAGCGGAATACAAGATTCTCTGCCTGTCAACTGCCCGCGCTCTGGTGACCCAGAGACAAGGGAGCACTTCCTGTACGAGTGTCCCTTGTGATTTCGCTACAAGGTTGCTCGGGTTCAGGCCTACACGCCGGACTCAATGCGCCAGGCGCGGGTGCGACGGCAGGCTGGGTGGTCGGAGGACGACGTGGTGATGTTCCTCCGACTTAATCCACAGGTCGCGACGTTCGAGTGGGCCGAATTACTCGCCCAAGCGGTTAGCGATCGAGAGGAGGGCGATGGGTATTCTGTCGCCAACGCAATCCCATACGCCCACACAGTAGGCTGTTATCGACATCTATTGGGACTGGTGCGCCGGACGGGGGGATGATCCCCTTAAATTGAATGCGGACAGCCCGAGTTGGAGGTTGTTCGTCAGCGAGTACGACGCCGACAGATGCTCTTCCGATGTAGCTGCGCGATGGCGAACTCACCTGCCAAGCGGTAGTCCACCTCTTTTCTTAGGACCTTAACCGCATGCCTGATAGAGTTGTGCGATGTACCTCACCATTACGATCGGGACCCGCATCGTTGGTTAGACACTCTGCATGTACCTTACAGTATGGAGTATAAACCTGGAGTATTAATTTTTTTTTAAAAAAGACATTGTGTCCTCCCAATCTGATCTCAAATAAGTTTGAGTTTTACACTAATGTGGGAGAACTTACCTCTGATTATGTACTTGGTGGCAATACAACCATCATTGTCTTTACCAAAGCCTGAAAACTCTGTTAGAATTTGAATACTTTCTAGTCTCCAACTCAAAGACATACATTGAATTCTTCAATATTGACTGCCAGTAGCATTCAAACAGTCAATATATGCACTATAAATTAAAAAAAGTTTAAAAACATACCACAGTTAGCAGCTGTATCTAGTACTTCTCTCATTGATTGATTCAGAATTTGACTTGCCTCTTGCCTTTTTTCTCATCATTTCACCTTTTCCCTCTCTTTTTCCACCTTTGCCCTCTCCTTTCCCACTTTTTCTCTCTCCTTTTCCACCTTTGAAGCTTGCACTCATCTGCTGTTTTTTGTAAACAGTAGATTTCTTTTTCCTGCTCAATTTAGCCTAGCACAACCTGTAAAGCATGATGTTTAAAAAAACATACAAGATTTGGATCTACTTCTAAAAGTTCCTTGATTTCAGCTATGAGGTTATTTTCCGTGTCCATTTTTTGTTTTGGAAAACAAAACGGAGATAAGATCAGCCCTAATAGCGCTTAATTTGCAGCGTCTGACTTAAGCGCGGGTTCACCGAGGCCGCGCGCTCGATCGAGCCCTCTCCCTTCGCAATGTACAGTTCACGACATGATACGGTCGCATGACAACTGAACACCCTGGGCCCGCACATCATGCATCACGCGCACAGCCCGAAGTCGTTCACGTTTTGATGAACATCAGAGCTCCTCGGGCACAGCGACATCTCACTATCAAGAACAGCTGCGACTCGAGCTCTGTTCATGCGAATGTCTGTATCTGCGAACGACTCTGCAAGTTTTTCGCCGCCTTTCGCTGGGACTCCATCCGGATTCTGGAGGAGCAGCGAGCGCGGTCCGCTCGCATGCAATGCGCGCGGTTCACGTGTCACCCGTTCTCGCTGCTTCCCTTGCTTCTGTTCAAAATCGTCGCCGCATCACCATTGAGGGCGGTCATGGGTCGAATAATCCATGTGGACCGATGAAGCTCGCAGACGGCATCCACGATGCCAAGACATTGGGCGAGGGCAATACTAGGATATATACTCTTGCGGATAGTTGTCCGGCAGGGCGTGCAACAAGATGCGCTCACCCACATCTCGACTGTCTCTTCCTCTCCTGGTGCTCTCTCTGAGCCCATATGCGTCTCTCATCCGATATGTCGCGGCAACTTCGCCGCCATTCATAACTGACCCCGCCAGTCTTGTCAACTTGTTCATTGGAACCACGAACGGTGGACACGTCTTCCCCGGTATGGCAGTCTTCTGGACGAGTGGTTAACGTTCAGAAATCCTCACGCGGCTGCTTTCAGGTGCAACGCTCCCGCATGGAATGGCCAAACCAGGGATGGACACTGATTCTCCAGGCAATGTACGTCCACTCGGCTCCACCGCCCTTTCTTTATCATGGAGACTCTTATGCACCAACTGCAACAGCAAGCTGGATACGACGCGAATCCCATCTACAATGCCACCGGATTCTCCCAGCTACATGACCAGGGAACTGGAGGGGTGAGCGACTTGATGTACGCGCTGGTGTATGTGCCCACGTGACCGCGACACCTACCAGGGCGTCTCATTGTCGAACTTTAAACTGTGGCCATTCGCCTCTTGCCCAGACGGCGATACTTTCAACGCTTGCCCCACTTCCGTAGACTCCAGAAAGGTGCTCCGGAATATTCTCCCAGATGGTATTTCCTCCGTAGCATCTGATACACCCATCCGAATGCTGAGTATGCGTAGGTTCGCCGGATGACGCAGCCGAACCAGGATATTTCGCGTCAAACTTGGTACGACTCGTTCCTTTCCATTTCATATCCACGCCTTCTTGATTGACTTGCCGGACCATGCTTGCTAACGCTCTCACAGTCTACAGGAATACGCGTTGAACTGACCGCGACGCGTCGCACCGCCCTGCACCGGCAAGTATCACGTCGCACGCCTTGGTCATTTAGACTTGTGGGCTGATCTTTCCGCCAGGTACACCTTTCCTCCTGACACAGCGAATCCACGTATTCTGCTTGATGTTACGGACGACGGACAATACAGTAGCACTAGGCCCGCGATGACCCTTGACCCGAACACTTCTCGCGTGATTGGTACGCACACCGAAAGTCGGTCAGCGTCTCGCTGACATCCTGTTTATCGTCCTGCTATCTTTCAGGGAGCGCGGACTTTCAAGCGTCATTTGGTCCCGGGCGATACAGGGTGTATACGTGCGTCGACTTTGCCGGAGATGGCTACGAGCTTGTCCGTAATCCCTTTTACCCTCTTCTATCTCTCACCGCGCTGGAATTCAGGGTCCTCCCGTGGAATACGGAACCTGGCTGCAAGACGCACCCATAAAATACAG